TGGCGGGAAGACGCAACCTTTGTCCCCGAGCTCTTCAGAGGCCAGCCGCGGAGGCTGGAGCCAGACGTTTACGGACAGCACAGCCGTGAGCTGGTGAGGCCGCGTGGCCGGCCCCGGCTGGGGCGGGAGGGGCTGCCCTGCCCCGCGGGAAAGCGGGGCCTTGGTGCGGCCCGGGGCCTGGGGCACAGAGATCAGGGGCGGGGTTCAGAAACGAGCTGCCGCTCTGAGGCCCGTCTGGGCCCTCCGGCCCCTGCGGGAGCGCGCATGCCCGCTGGACAGCCCTCGGGACGAGGCCCAGAGTCCAGCTCTTGCTGAGGGCTCTGCACGCTTCAGCGCTTGGGGATCTTCCAGAGAACCTGTTAGAAATTCAGGCTTGAGGGCCCTGTCGCCCTGTGGCGCCAGCATCTGGCGGCACGCCGGGCCGTTCCAGCAGCGGGCTGGCTCGCTCGGGCCAGGTGAGGGCAGCCGGGGGGCGACAGGTGCCTGGGGCCAGGGCCCGTGGGGCAGGGGCAGAGTCTGGCAGGCAGGGGCGAGGCTGGCGCGGGAGGCAGCCCGGAGGGGAGGGAAGCGAGACTGCGAGCGCTGCTCACGCCCCGGCCCACAGCTCCCCGAGGTGCACGCCAGCAGCTGCGACAACATCTCCCAGTTCTCCGTGGACAGCATCACCAGCCAGGAGAGCAAGGAGCCCGTGTTCATCGCCGCGGGTGACATCCGGTACGGCCCGGCCCGCGGCCTCTGCTTCCCTCCTCCGCACTGCGTCCTCGGCCGGCGGCCACCGGGCTCCAGCTGGCGAGGGCGCAGCTGGGAAGCGGCTGAGCGCGTCTCTGAGCGGGTCTGGGCCTCCGTCTCGGGGGCGGGAGGGGCCCGGAGGCCTGGCGGTGAGAGCGCACCCTCCCGAGTCAGAGCCGCGGCAAAGGAGTGGGGCGCAGGGTGCCCACGCTGGAGCACGTCTGCCAGCCACCTGGTCAGCAGAAGAGCGTCCGAGGCGCTCGCCAGGGCCGTGGGGGGGAGCCAGGGGCGCCGTGCGGGCTCGGGCGGCCCCCAGCAGCGTCCGTGTCTCCCGCTAGGCGGCGCCTGTCGGAGCAGCTGGCCCACACCCCCACCGCCTTCAGGCGAGACCCGGAAGACCCCTCTGCTGTCGCCCTCAAAGAGCCCTGGCAGGAGAAAGTGCGGTGAGTCGCGGGGCCCCGGCATCCTGTGGGGCTCAGGCCCTCGCCCCGTAGCCCACCAGGCGTCAGGCCCCGGCCGGCTGAGGGCTGCCTCAGGGGAGGGTGCTCTGGAATCTTGGTGGGAGCTCGCCTACGCACCCCCCGGGCTCTGGACACTGCTCTCTCCCCTCAGGAGGATCAGAGAGGGCTCCCCCTACGGCCACCTCCCCAACTGGCGGCTCCTGTCAGTCATCGTCAAGTGTGGGGATGACCTCAGGCAGGAGCTGCTGGCCTTCCAGGTGTTGAAGCAGCTACAGGTGAGAGAAGGGGAGACAGGGAGAACCAGGCCTCCCGGGGCACAGGTGCAGCACTGTCAACCCATCCCAGCCGCGCCTGAGTGCGACCCCGGCCAGGGAGGGACCCCAGGGCACAGAAGGCCCCTCCTGTCTCCCCGCTGCCCCCTCAGCCGTGGGTGTCAGTGGACCTGCCTGGCCTGCTCCCCACTCTGTCTCTGGGGCGGTCTCTCGCCCCCGGCACCTCTGGCCTGCACCCCAGTTCTTGTGTGAACAAATAAAGCACGTGTCTGCAGGGAGCCGCCCCGCTCCGGAGCCTCCAGATGGAGGCCGAAGGCCGTGGGGAAGGGGCCCCACAGCGGCCCCTGGCGGCCGCCCGGCCCTGGCGGAGGCGTCCGGCCCTGGCGGAGGCGTGGGCCTGTGGGCCTGCTGCTCCCGGCCACGCACTTGCCCTGGGGGGCCGCCAGCCAGCAGCGTCCCCTCTGCCCAGCTGTGCTTTCCAGATGCGCCTTCTCGGGTCCTTTTTGGTTTCCGCCCTGTTCTTTGAACTTGTTGGGTGGCCCTGCGCCCTGAGGCTGCCCTGGGTTTTTCCTTCCTGTTTCTCGCTTTTTGGGGGGAGTTCCCACATACCTTCTGCTGTGGTCCTGAGTCTTGTTGGGGCCTCGGGGCGGGAGGCTGGGCCGCCCACGTGCCTGGAGAAGCCCAGCAGCGCGCTCTGTCCCACAGTCCATCTGGGAGCAGGAGCGTGTGCCCCTGTGGATCAAGCCGTACAAGATCCTGGTCATCTCGGCCGACAGCGGCGTGATCGAGCCGGTGGTGAACGCCGTGTCCATCCACCAGGTGAAGAAGCAGTCGCAGCTCTCCCTGCTCGACTACTTCCTGCAGGAGCACGGCAGCCACACCACTGAGGCCTTCCTCAGCGCGCAGCGCAACTTCGTGCAGAGCTGCGCCGGCTACTGCCTGGTCTGCTACCTGCTGCAGGTCAAGGACAGGTAGGCGCACTCCTGCCGGCCAGCCCCGGCCGCCTGGTGCCGCGTGAGCCCTGCGCCCGCCTCGCACGGTCAGGATGTAGAGATGAAACAGCCCGTTGGAAGCGGAGACCGGCGTGTTCACGTGCCGTCAGCCACGGAGGCGGCTCGTGAAGCGCACAGAAGCGCAGGGCTTCTGCGAGGGGACCCGGAGGCCAGGAAGAAGGGCCGGACGGCGAGACAGCCTGTCTGTGCGCAGGGCACAGGGTGAGGGCAGAGGCTGGCGGCCGAGGCCAGGTGAGCCAGGCCTTCGCTAGGGCCCGGGAGTTTATTTGGCAGGCGGAAGCAGGACGCGATCGGCCGTGGTGCCGTGGGCAGAGTCGGGTCGGGGCCCTCTAGTGACGAGCCCAGGGGCCGCGGGGCCCAGTTTGGCAGGGGCCGGGCAGAGGGCAGGCAGGGGAAGAGCGGGACGCCGGGCACCGCCAGGCCCCAGCCGTGTGTCGTTGGCTTCGTCGTGCTGCCACGTCACGGGCCCTCGCTGTCGGCGCCGACGCGCCGTCGGGGTAGCCGGCCCGTCCTGTTGGCCGAGACCGCCGTGGGCTCCGGGTCGGGTTGGTGCCATGATCCGGGAGGCGGCGGGCACGGCGGGGCGTCGCGGGGCACAGGCACAGCTTGCGGGCAGCTTAGTGGGTTTGCCCACTGCGCGCTGCCACACCTGGCCTTCCTGGGCGAGACCAGATGGGAACCCTGTCGCAGGCTTCCTTCTGGGGGAGCGGTCGGGGGGCTTGCGCTCACCCCATCCAACACCCCCCGGCCAGCCGCGAGGCGGTGGCGTCACTGAGGACTCTGGCTCTTCCCGAGTCCGCGAGGAGGGCGGCCGGCCCGTGGGGACCCGGCGTGCTCGGGGCGTGAGGGCGGCTCACGAGCCTCTGTGTACCTCAAAGAAAAAGATGGGGGCTGTGAGCGGAATCAGCCACTGCGGTGAGGCGCCGCGGCTCCGGGCCCAGGGCAGAAGTGGGTTTGGGTCGCCTCCGGCAGCCCCAGCAGCTGACAGGAACTGCCCTCCTGACCTTGGGCTCCAGCCGCCGCCGCTTCTCTGGGGGCCACCCGGCCTCGCCTGGGGCGTGGGCCCTTCCACCTGGCCCCTTCTCTGGCCAGTTAGAGCCACAGACCAGGGGCCTCAAACGGGAGCGCCTGGCCGGAAAAGCCTCGTGCCACAGAGGCTGGCCACACTGCATGGGCTGGGCTCCGCCGGGCACGTGACTGGCTGCTCCTCCGGAAGGCCCTTAGGGTGGGCTCCCCGGGGGTGTGGTCGGCCCCCCTAGCACGTCTGCGCACAGCTCTTTCCCTCCCTGAGTTCCGCTGGCCTGGAGGCCCCCACCCTGTCCACGTTTAAGCACCGAGGGTGGCCGCCCGCCTGGTGGGCCTTCGGGTCGTGCGGCCTGCAGGAGCGGTCAGCACAGGTGCGCTCTGAGCGAGCCCCGGGCCCAGTGTGCAGCCTCTGGGCAGTGCTGGGTGGCGCTGGCTGCCTGAGACGGGGCCGCCGGGCCTCGCCCTGGCCCCATCCCCTCAGCTGCAACGCAGCGGGGCTCTGAGGTGTCCTGTCCCCCTGGCGCGGCCCAGGCCCGTGCCCCGCCCCGACTCACCGCCCTCCTGTGTGGCTCAGGCACAACGGGAACATCCTCCTGGACGCGGACGGACACATCATCCACATCGACTTCGGCTTCATCCTGTCCAGCTCGCCCCGGAACCTGGGCTTCGAGACGTCAGCCTTTAAGCTGACCACAGAGTTTGTGGACGTGAGTCAGAAGGCGCGGGAGGGGCTGGGGGCAGCCCCCCGTTGGGCTGGAGCAGAGCAGGCGCCAGGGCGCAAGGCCGCAGGCCGCAGGCGGCAGCGCAGCGCAGGGAGAAGGCCGCGGGCCTCACGCGCTCTCGGCCCGCAGGTGATGGGCGGCCTGGACGGGGACATGTTCAACTACTACAAGATGCTGATGCTGCAGGGGCTGATCGCCGCGCGCAAGCACATGGACAAGGTGGTGCAGATCGTGGAGATCATGCAGCA